AATGGTTTTTCCATCAGTGAGCTTGTACATGGAGCCCTCTCCCGCAAAGGGCTTGATCTTTTCTGATTTGAACCTGAAAGTTTCCTTGCCTTCATTTCCCCTCAGTCTCTTTAAAAGCTCTCACCCCCTTCCCCATACACACACCCCCAATAGTTTTTTAAAGCCAGAATTTTTGCTCTCTGGGGTGTTTTCGGTAAACAGTAACGCTACATAAACACCTTCTTCACTTGCAAGTTTTGGAGCATTTAACTTTTACCCTCGTGGGCATGTATGTTTCTTAAGGCACATGGATAAATGCCACTGAGGTGCGATTCAGACACTGCTAGCACAGGGGTGTCACAGCTGCTGTGTAAGGTGGGGCTGTAAACAAAGTAACTCCAAAATCTAGGAAGCCATCCACTTTGAACAGATTTCTTCCCAAACAAGTTTGCATTGGAACGGAGTCTTTGCAGTGGTAGATAATTTTCTTTCTGTTAATGGTTAGTAGCCTGGTTTCTAATACACAAGTACACGCACTGACTCCAGATTCCTAAGGTGGTGATTTGCTTTTTTCTCTTAATAAAGACCATATCTAGGTTTTATTTTCCACTCCAAGCCTCTGGACTTTCATTGTAACCTTAGCCAGCTGCTGTAGGCAACCCGCTTTCCTGATCTGGGCCTGGGTCTGCTCTTTTGAGGACTATGCTTTTATCCTCCCAGGTGTTTTGTTTGGTTTTTAATCCTATTTGCATCAGTCCTGGGATTTTCCAAATGTTCCTTGATAAGGCGAGGTTTCAGGCCCACAAGGATGCGTGTCTGCAGCCTCTGTTGTCCTTAGTGCTTGTGCAATAAACCTTTCTGTTGGTATTTAGTAGATTCGGTGCTTAAGGCCTAAGACAAGGTTTTGAAGCAGATCCTGGCGGTCCAGAACTTCAAAGGCCTGTCAGCTCAAAAGCAGCTGACGCCTCACCTGTCCAGGAAGCTGGACATTGCAAGTATTTCCTGTTTTTAGCTTTTTTGATTTGTTACTCTCACCTCTCTCTAGAATTCTTATTTTTGAAATATTACATAGATGGTGTCTCCTTGTGACCTGTGATATAGCAGTGTATCGAGATGCTATCTGAGTAGCAATGGATATATATATATATATATATATATATATATATATATATATTCCATATTCAGTAGGGGGTATTTAAAAGTATGTCTATTCCTAGTTTTAGTTAATTATCTTTTAATGAAAGTGTCACTCATATTCACATCTGTAATATTGGAAAGAGATAATTAGATTTTCAAATGAGAATCAGCCACCTTAAATTTTGCACCAGAAAATACCAAGTATATTTCATTCTAATGAGATCTGTAGTGGGGTTTTAAAATTCATCATAATGTGCTTCAAGAAAGATAATTCAACAGACTCGCAAGATGAAAGGTTTTTTTCCTAAGTCTTCTTAAAGCTATTACATTGAACTTATGCAATTCTGATGAAATATTCAAAAATATTACATAAAGGCTAGAACCGTACCCCCACTATCCCCCTTGCAACCATCACTTACTCTCATTTGAAAGTTTACTTTGCCTAAACTAACCGCTTCCATCTTCCATGCCCTGGGTTTTCTCTCCTGCGCGGGCAAGCGAAAGATACGTGTTTAAATAGAGTGCCTGCGGATCCACAGTGCAATTCCTCCCTCGGAACAGGCCAGGCAGAGCGGTCTTGCACACAGCCCAGGCACCCTTTATTTACATATATCTGCATATCTGATCAGACCCCCGCATCTCGCCATTAAAGCGCGTTCTTGAACGTAGCAGGATACACTAGGCAGAGAAAACCTCTTCATTGCCCTAACTCATATTTCTGCTTAAAGCCTCCCTAGTAAACAAATCTCTGGTTCGATAATAATTACTTTGCCTCATTAAAAAAAATTCCTTTTCGAGTGGTTAAAGGGCATTCACTGCTTGGGCGGTATTTATGTTTTATTTTTTCCCCCTCATCCTTGCTGAGTATGTGTCTGTGTGTGTGTGTGTGTGTGTGTCTAATGAAGTTTGGGAGTCGCGCGCGCAGGGGCGCGTGGGGTGCGAGCCCCGGAGGTCCCCATCCCCTGCCCTCTCCGCGGTCGCCGCGTCCCGGGCTCCAGCCGCAGCGCTCCTCGCCTTGGAAGCCGCTAGGCTCCGGGCTGCTCCGAGTCCGGGGCTGCGCGTCATTTGCAGTCTGGGGAATGTTGATCACCTCACTAATTACACCTCTCTCTCCCCCCCTCTCTCTCCCTCTCCCTCGCTCTCCTCGCTCATTCCCAGAGTGCATATCGGGAATAGACACACAAAGACATGCGCACTCAACTTAATCAGCCATTTTTTTAAACAGGGCTAAAACGATAATAATTAGCAGAATAAAGACATATCGGATTTTCATTTCCTTTCCTCCTTTTCCCAACCCCTTCACAACCAAACAGCGAGACCGCGGTCGGCACATGCTTTAACTCCTCCCGGACCCCCGAGGACCGCTCCATGCCCCCCACTTTCTGCTCCAGCGTTTTTATTTTCACCCAATAAAGTTCGAGGATTATTTTTTTATTTTTTTTATTTTTTTTAATGAACCCTCTCGTTTTACTTGGATGTGATCAGCTGTAAGTAAAATAAAAGCAAAACAAAAAAGAGGCGAAGATCGAGTAGGAACTGCAGGGGAAATGGAAAGTAAGTTTTTTCTTTAACTTTTATTGAGTAGTTTGTGTTAAATTTAGGTCGAGTATCGATTATCTTTCCAGCCTGATCTTGCACAATCTTTGATATTTCGCTCCCTCTCTCTCCCTCTCCGCCTCTCTCCCTCTCTGCCCCTAGCTCGCTCTCTCTAGCTCGCTCTCGCACACATCCCCTCATCCCGACCATCTCTTCCGCTCTGCCCCCCTTTTCTATCTCTTTCCCCCTTTTTTTGGCTCGAGGATTTGCTCCGCTGAGGGAGGGAGGGAGCGCTGAGGGACCTGATTTTCCACTTTCTTGGGGGGTGGGGGGCTGCGTTTTTTGCGATTTAACTTTTGGATTAAGTGGCGGATCGTCCACGTTTGGCCGAGCAGTTTTCGCTCTTTTTTCCTGTCTTTTCGGGCTCTGTCTCCACCGCGAGCCTGGGGCTTTCTCGGGGCGCGGGGAAGCTGTCAGCTCCGCGCCGGCGCGGCCACTGCCTGGGGTCCCTGCTCGCTCCGCGCCCTCGCACCGGGGTCGGGATGACCCTTCCTTCGCACCCATCCTCCGAAAGTTTGGACGTTGGTCGGTGGGGCGGGGAGCCCCTCTCTCCCTGCTCTACCCCCCCCCCCCCCCCCCCCCCCCCCCATTCTGCCTCGTTTTCCTTCCTCCTCTTACCACCCTCCTTCCCTTTCTCAAGTTCCCCGAAGGGGCTTAGCGCGCCGGCCTGGCGGAGGCCCGGGGTTCCGTGCGCCCTGGCCAGGGGGTTCCAAGACCCCGGGGCGCGAGCTGGGGCTGGGGCTGCAGGTAGACCCCGCGCGCCGGGGCGGGTGGCGGCGGGCCCGGCGAGGGCTGCTCCCGGCGGCGCGGGCGGCGCGGACCGTGGCGCCGCGGATGGAAGGCAGGTCCGTTAGGAGGCGGGATGGCCGGGCCGTGGGGCCAGGGACCCGGGAGGCGCGCCGCTCTCTCGGGGCGCTTTCGCTGCCGGCTGGGCGGTAGACCAGAGCGGGGATGCCCGAGGCTCGGGGTCCAGAATCTTTTCCTTTCTTTTAGGCAAGGGGCAAGCGGGGTGTGTGTGTGTGCGCGCGCGTGTTGGGGGGCTGGGGCCGGCGGTGAGAACGGATTTATTCCCCGGACCCCCCAAAGGCGTTCCGTGTATACAAACGAACTTCACCTTCCTAGCCTCTCCCGGCATCAAGTGCGCCTTCCGGCCGGGAGCAGCTGAGGGAAGAGGGGCTGGAATGCGTCGGGTCTCGCCTTCCTTCTACTTCTGTCTCCCTCCCACCTCCCCCCATCATTTCTGCTCTTTTCTTTCGGAAAAAATAAAATAAAATTTCTCATGGAATTGTATAAAGTTTCTCTGCCGATGCCCAAGTTACAGAGGGTTACCCCTCCTGCCCCCCCACCCCAAGACGGTGCACTGGATTGTATTTCTTTTGTTACCTGCGATCCGGGCTGGGGGCTCCTTCGGCCGCTCGGGCTGGGGTCCGGCCCAGAGAGGAGGCTCCGGCGGGCGCCTTTGGCCGCGACTCCTCACTTCCGCGCGGTTCTGGCGAGGTCTTAGCTACCGTTCGGTGAGACACCCTCCTTGTAGGTAGCAAAGGTTCAGATCGCAAACACGGACCCCCCCACCCCGACCCCTACACACACACACACACACACACACACACACACACACACACACACACACACATTCTCCCTACTCCCCCCACCTCCAGCCCCCACCTTGACTTTCCCCTCCCCCCTTCCAAAAAAAGCACACACACAACAACAACAACCCCCCCAAACCAAACAAAAACCCAAAGACAAGTTCACTGGCGGAAGATGGTGGATTGACACTGACTCAGACAGAGGCAGGTTCACCAGGAAATCTGGCGGTCCCGATTTCTGACAGTTGCATTTCCTCTCCTTGAGTCCTTCCCCCCCCCTTTTTTTTTTATTAACTCTGTTCCATGTTTAATCAAGGATCATGTAGATGGCAAAAGGAGAGACAGAGAGAGAGGAGAGAGAGGAGAGAGGAAAAGAGAGAGGAGAGAGAGAGACAAGAGACAGAAGGAGGGTTTTTTTTTTTTTATTGTGTTCTTCTGGATTTTCAGTGGCTTGATCCCTATAAACGTGGAGTGGTTAAAGCTCATATGTAGTATTATATTTTTAGTTGGGTGGATGGATGGAAGAGTCAGGGAGAGGCTGCGGCTGCCGCTGCCTTTTCGGGTGTTGCTTAGATTAAGACTGAGACTTGGCTGCGATTGGGACGCGACAGTGACACGGGCATCGATCGCTTCCATTGAGAGCAATGCAAAAACACAGCCCGGGTATGTAACACTCTCGGTGCCATCAACACTTGTTTTACTTTATATTTACTGGCAAAACTGACAGAGCAAACTCAGACTTTCTTCTTTCTCTCTCTTTTCCCTCTTTTTCTCTTTTCTAACTGAAGAATAAAAACCATTGTGTATGGAAGTTGTTGGAAATGATGCTGTAAATACAACAGAAAGGAGATCTTGGAGATTATTTCACTGCCTCTGTGGCTGATTGTGTTTTAGAGTTTTTCTTCTCCACAGAGGAGCATATTAAGGAAAATGAAGGTTTTCTTTTTTCCTTCTTTAAAAAAAAAAATCCTTAAGGGAATGTCTGATAGTTCTTAACGTTTGCGGTTTCAATCAGCAGGAAGGCACACAAAAATAAAAGATGGCTAGCCAGCTGTTTTAACCTCTTGCACCTGGCTTCAGTGTGGGGATCATAAGGTTTCTACAGTTATTTTTTTTACAAAACGATTTTAATATTTATGGCATAAACTGGGGAGAGAGCATTGCTGTGTATTTTATTCAATAGCTGGTTGCTTTTGGATTACAAAAGTAAACTCATATTTAAGTGTTTTCATTTTTATGGCAATGAAGATAGAGTCAATGAAATATGAGGGAAATACCATAAATCTGAAAAGTGAAATGTACCTAAGGAACAAAGAAAGGTCAGGTAAACCAACTGTGTAAGTCAAAGCAATGGCACCAACTGTGGGGATAGACAGGGAGAGTGGGCTCAGGGTCTTGGAAGTGAAAGTTGCCATTTCAAGTTAAAAATGAAGGAAACATGTTCAGCTCTATTGTAATCTTTTGCAGTTTTTAGCAGATGCGCCCAAATCTGTTCATTAATTTTGAGCTAGTTGGATTATTTTAAAAGATGCTGCACCAGCAAAGGAAACCATAAAGGAGGCTGAGAAAATTGCTGTTTAATATTGCAGAATCTACTGCTTCCATTCTGACCATGAGCCTAAATTTACACAATGAAATTTGATTATCTCTAATAACAATATTAGATCCTGCACTGGATGGATGAGAATTGAGGTGGTTTTGTTGATTGCAAGGGTTTAATGTTGCATTTCAGAATCTGATGTGGTTTGGCCTTCCTTCCATTAACTGGAAAACCCCTGAGGTTTTACAATTATTTCTTAAAGATAATACATTTAAGATTGCATTGGTAGGCTGAAGAAAAGTCATAAAGGCAAGAAGGGAAGCCCTTAATAACTCTTGAGATTCAGACATGTTCAGCAGTTAGATTGCCTCTGACTTCACCAAGGGTCGACAATGTGTCATTTCCACGAAGCCAAATTGCCCTCTGCCTATATGATATTAATGTGCAAATCAATATTTCAGGGATTAAATTTCCCTTCTTCATTTTTTATGGTTTCTACCTCAATAAGTCTCAAGTCTATTAGAAGAGGCTGGATGATTTAAAATCTTTCACTGCAGAATGGCTTGTCCTAGTCTTGTTTCACAGACCATTTTAGGATTTTCGTTATAAAGACTGAGGGCATCCTCAAGAATGTGAAGGCAGTGCAGAGGCAGACTCGATAGCGCAAAATCCTTGTTCGATTAAGAGCTAAGAGGTATTGGAAATATAATACATGTTTATGTAATAAATATATATATATACACACACACATTCTGCTGCTTTAAAATATTATGTTAATCACCTATTGATTCATTTCAAAGTCAATGAAGTTCCTATCTTATTAGTGATTTCTTCAGCATTCTTGAGAACTGTGTTAATTTTCTTAAAGAGTATGCATGAATTAGCTTGGTGTGAAAGTATTTGGGAGGCTTTTTCATTTAGCAGTATTTTCCTAAGAAATATTTCTAGAAACCGTTGTTTGTAAGAGTCAGAGTCAAGTGTTGTCATCTGCAGACGTTGTTGTCATAGCTATGATGGCATTTTGTGGCCGAATGATTTAGCTGCTATCTGTTAAGGGAGGCCTTTTTCGATTTGTTTTCCATTCATTTCTAGCACGTAGTAGGTACAATGTTTCTTTTCACCCTCTTGGAGGAAGGCAATTGTAAAAGAAAATATGGGGTTTGCTTGGAAATAATACAAAGCAGAAATTGGAGAGGTCAAAATAAAAGATGGTGACTTTATCACATAATCTTGGGAAGGCCTACTGTCTATCATTTGGTGGTGTTTTATAGTCTAAAACCATCTGGACCAAGTTCCACACAGCTGCACGAATTTCATATGTGATAGAACATTTTTTCCATTCAGTGTGAAATGTTCCTTCCTAAAAAACGTACACCAGACTCGCTTAATTTAGTCTGTTAAAAGAAATGCACATGAAAAAGGACAAAAGGCTCTTTAATCTCTGCAAGCTGTTTGTTTTTCTTCAAGATTCCTGTCTGTTTGGGTTTGAAAAGTCATGTTTATTGAGGAGATGATTCTGAGGTGTGACATTAAAATAATATATGATTTTTGGACTGGTGGCCACGCTCCTGCTTAATTTGCAGAACTACTTTTTATGCCTGTCAAAACACAGAGTTAATCTATCCTTATTTACAATTAATCTCAATAAAATTAATCTTAACTATGCTTTATTCAGTGGCTTAAAATATCTAATTATATTCAATTAACTGCTGTCATAGTAATTAACATTGCTTAATTGCCTCTGCATATATTTATGTAAAGCTCATTAGGTGCTGCTGGCTCCTTTTTCCTTTTCTACTTGCTATTTTTGCTGTTGTCAAACCGTTTTCATCTCCCAAGGTTCGACAATGTCCGTGAGAGCAAATTCTTTAACATTTTCCTGAAATGAGTGTTACTGCCTTCCTAGGAGAAGATACTCGTTATGAGTCTTTAAAGACTAATCCATCCCCCCTTTTCCCTCATCCCTAGCCCCCTGCACACTCACAGGATATTTTCTGTCATTGTTGCTAGAAATATGAGAAGCCAGGTTAAGCTTTGTGTTTAGCAATGAGGAGCCTTTCTGTGTCTGCCTAGGGGCTGGACCCACAGGCAGAGTATTTTTCCTCTAAGACCATTCGAAGGGTTAAAGACTTGGCCAAGGTTCAAACTGAAAAGCGCCCAGGGAAAGTGCATGTGAATATGTACAAGTTTCATGTAATTAGTGCTTAATTATATTAACATATGCAAATTGTCAACTTAGGAGCTTGTTGAGCTGGCAAAGATCAGCTAGGCACAATTGCTGTATTGTTCTGAAACAATAATGGATTTCAAGTTGGATTGTGGAAACACATAACTAGCTATCTAATTTAACTCATACCATGGTGAAATTTCATTAGTCTCCATGGAGACTGGTTTAATTGTGCTGACTAATGTTCTGGGCTGGAGAATGTCCTAAAAAGAAAGCGTTGTTTGCCTAATCCACCTTACAATGACACTTGTTTGTACATGTTTCCCTTGTGTGAGAATTTGCATATGCAAATAAATAGTTTCTCTGCCCCATTTGTCATGGCTGTTCATTACCCATGAAGAGGACATTGTTACTAGGCTGTTACTGAGTCTCCCAAGACGGGGTAGTGTCAACCAGTCCAGCTACATTCTTTCATAATTTGTTTCTGATTAATAGACCAGAGTGAGCCTCAGTCTCTTTGGGCATCTGCGAAGGGAAGGTCAGTTCTGTCACAGAAAAGAGTTTCTGCAGTAACTCAAGGACTTTTTCATCTTATGATTATTCTCCTTTTTCCACCCATTGGTGAACATAATCATATTTAAAATAATGTATTCTTGTTCTAAGAATGCCTCTACTAATAATCTCTAGTTTCCTAAAGCAAAAAGATAGGAAAAGAAAGGAGATTCTGTTATTGGAATATTAATCCTGTTTTTGACAGAAAGGTAAACTGATATAATTGCTTTTCAGTTGAAGGAATGGGGGTTTATACAAGTGTGAAAGCATCGGAAAAGGATTAGCATTTTTTTGCATAATGAAAAGCTCTGTTGAATAGGGTCCTGAATGGCTGACTGAATGACTAAGATGAAAGGAAGATGAAAATGCAGCTCCTCTTTCTTTATGCCTATGCTCTGCTCTCTCTAAAGTTATGTTTGTCCAAGACTTGAGAAAACAAGCAGGGGCTCAGATTTCAGCAACTTTATAAGATGCCCCAAGTTTTCCTCATCATTGGGAACTAGTATGTATGACAGAAGTGCAGCGAGAGGGTGATCAACAGAGGTTTGTATGCAGAAGAGTTTTCAGAAACACGCTAAGCTTGCCAGATAGTGACTGTTGGGTATCAAGAATTCCCAGCCCTTCGCTGGCAAAAACAGTTATTTTGGAAGGGGCCAGTAGTATGGTGTGGATTTTTAATTCAGTTAATGATGGAATATCTGGGGGTTCCTCCCCCCATCGGCTATAAATAGCTGTCTTGGTTGGTGGAACACTTCACTTTGGAGAGTTGTGTATTCTGACTTTTGGCAATGTTAAGTGTTTTAAGTGGCCTATCAGCTTTTGTGGCTGGGAGGGGACAGTAGAGGAGGATACAGTTATTTTCGTAGGATTTAATTTATCTTCACGTTGCTTTGTGAGTGTATTTCACTTAGAGATGAGTCTCTTAAAAAGTGTCTACGTACTGTACGTTCACTCTTGGAAACACTTTCAGTAGGGTTTTCGCTCGTCACCAGTTAGGGCTGTAACTGGTTAGCAGTTGACAATGTGATCGTGGCTCTTAATGATGTTTCTTCAACCATAATTAGGGCAGTTAAAATACCATAAGTGTTAAGACACTTTCAAAGGTGGGAATTGGTTCTTTTGTACATATGTAAATCGAATGCAGTGTGGATAATTATTTATATGTATACATTTGGAACAAGCTCTTTCCGGTTTCGGGTCACCATAAATGAGCCATTGTAGGCTGCCCCAGAGCAGAATTGAAAGATTTTGCCAGATATTCACCTAACTTGTTTTGTTGTTAGATTGTAGAACTTCTATTTGCCTCATCGCTTTATCGGTTCAGTTGCTGAGGTACTATTAAGATGGCTACATGGAAACTTGGGAAATCAGAAGTGTTTTCACGTAAATTAAAGTGTAAGGGTTGCCTCTTGAGTACAGAATATTGTAAAGGAAAAGTGTTTGATCTTTGTTATATAAAGTCACCAAAATTCTTTACTAGACTCCTTTTAAAAATTTGTCAAGAAATTCTGGATTGTTTCAGAAACTTTTATGGTTAACTTTATGATATGCTTGCAAAAAGTCTTAAAAGAACAAAAAAATCCACATGGAGGCTATTCTTTTACATGCAGAATGGCTTATTAAGGTATTTCCATAAGAAAAATGTGTTAATTTAAAAAATAAATTCATTTATATTTTAAGACATTGTTAACTGAGCACCATGTGTTGTAACTGGCAGCTTTCCAGCCACCATGGAAGTGGATCACACATGGGTTAATAGTAGCTTATGTGATGTCTGCATTCTTAGGAAATGGGCAAAAGCCCAGGGTTTTCTGATATCAAGATTTTAGGAATCAGACAGAAAGCAGAATATATGTTTATATGTGAACAGATGGACACATGTGAGAACTAAAAGTGCACAATTTCTCTTGGCACTTGTTTTAGTTATCCCTGATGATATAACCAAGATCTTAGTGCTCTCACAGTCTTTGATGGCTAAGGACGGAATGGTCTTTTAATGAGGGCTCAATGGCATTATTTTCTTGCATAAGGATTGTGTCCCTTGTGATCTCGCTGGATTTGATGTTCTGTTAATTCCCTAGTTTCAGAGGTCCCCAAGTTGCCTTGAAAGTTTGAGATGGTCTCACGTTTGACATACAATCCTCAGTCCAGGAACGGCTGCTCTCCACTCCTCTACTCTTTTAAAGGTTTGTGGGTAAAATCAAATATTTGCTATTTTGAGGCACTTTTGAATGTATGCACACAACTTAAAAATGGCTTTGACACTGAAGTCATATTTGGCAAGCAGCTTATCTCTAATATAATTAGCCATTTTAACATTCTAGAGATTAAAAAAATAAACAAATAAAATTTAAGAATTTGGGCAGCTTGACTTGCTTAATTTGTCATAATGCCCTGATGGTCCAAGACACGTCCTGAGTAGGTGTTTTAGTCATTGAGGTCAGAGGGTCACACACTAGCATCATATATTTAGATGATTGATCATTTCTAATGTTTGCTTGTCCTGGGGATACGACAGTACACAGCTGATAATTTCTGAATGGTACGCATTATAGCACGTACCTCTAAAGACAGAGTTTATAGGTTCCATTGTGTTCTAGCTGTAAAAACACAAAGTGTTCTGCAAGTATTTACTCAGATCTAAATCATTTTAACTAGGGAAAATTGACTTTTGGGTTAAAATATGCATTTTATAACTGTCCATAAAATCCTTTTCCTTCACTGTAAAGAAGAAAGGAAATCCATAGCTTTAACAATGTTAAAATACAAAAGCATATGAGCTGGTGTATGCCACCTGGTTGTACTGTTAAAAACAAAACAAAACTTTGTAAGAGGGAAGTTTACGGAGAATCTTGAAATTTACCGGCTTGGAAGAGTAAATTGAAGAAACACAATCATTTCCCAAAGTATCTTCATTAAACCTGAAAGGCTTTATGAATGTGGATTCTCTAAAATACCGTTCTTAGTACTTTTTCTCCATACATTTAGGAATAATGCAATTAATATTTAAAATTTTTTGAGCCCACTAATTAATTGAGAATGAGTCATTTTTTTGGTTTAGTAGATACAGACTGGGAGTGTACAGACAGAGACATACACACTGACACACACACACTCTTCTACCTTCTCCTCACGTTAGTGTCTCTCTTTCCTCTTTAGATACGTTCATAGGGGTAGACTGGGAAATTTTTCCCTTGTAGACTAAATTTCTTTCATTTTCTAAGAACTGGCCCACATGATCACAACAGAGAGGAGCAGGTAGGGTGGTAAGACAATGGGCAACCCTCAAAATGCTGAAGACTGGGGACTGATTTAGAGTTACTCAGTTCAACCAGTTCATTTCAAAATATGGGCTATTGAATTCAGGAGAAGTAAGCGTTGAGTCACCCAGCAAGGTAGGAAAACGTCAGGACAAGAACTCAGATATCCCAACTCTAGGACCAATGGTCATGCAACTATACTGGCTGCTTTGGAAAAGGGTTTGTTACATGACAGAATATGAAGGTGGTGGAAATAGTGAAGAGAAGAAAAGGAGAATATGCAGTGGTAATCCAACAGCGATGCTGTCTCCTCTGAGGGACTTCTCGGTTACTGAAAGGAGTTGAGTAGAATCTGGATGGCCTCTTATCACTGTGACCGTAAACGTATTTTTGTGTTAAGTAGGTGGTTGGACAGATGCTTTGAATGGTCAAGAAGAGTCTGTGATTCATAAAAGTACTGATGATCTCAGTGACTTAAAATGTATTCTTAATAACTACAAACATGGTGTTGAGAAGAAAAGGGTTTTTATTCCGTGTAAGGAAAGTAAACAACAATGCTGTGATGTTTTAGATACAGCATAGTGGACAGAAAGAATGACCTTTAGTTAAAGACACTTTTTTGATTCTGTTCACTTTGGATTCCTTTTTCCTTTTGAAAAGAGTTTTTTTGACTTAAGTTTTAGATATTTGAAAATATACTCCATTTTTTGTCAACTCAATGGCCAATAGAAATGGTTTCAGCTGTATTAGACACCTGGGTTAAATTCTTTGTTATGGATGACCTTATCCAAGTTATTTAATCTTGCTGAGCCTCAGTTTACCTTGACTTGTATCTCAAAGTTGTTGTAGAGATTACATAAGACTAAAGGGTTGTGGCATTAAAATAAGTGAATGTTACAGGACTTGATAACCTCTGTTCCTTTGTCTTTGTTTTCAAGAGCTAGTTTTAATGTAATGCTCAACTAAAGAGCATTTGATAAAGCAAGTCTACTTAGATCTTTGAGTAGAGATGCTCCTGTCCCCCAAAAGGGAAGGAGAGAGGAATTAGGCAATGGGTATGCCTACAAGGCCGGGAAAAGGGATAGCATCCTTCTTCTCAGATTTTCTCTTTGACAGATACCTAGATGGCGTCTAGGTGGATAGTCCTCCATCTCATTATCTGCCGCTCTATTATCACAAGTTGTTTTGGTTCTGAGGGGCTTTTAGATGTTTAATGCATTTCTGGGTCTTTTTCTAAGAAGCAAATTAGAGCAGAAACAATTTTTAAATAATTCAGACCTTAGTCTATCCACATGAACCCAAGATTCCAGACTGTCCATTGTATACAATAATAGAAGAGACCAAAATGCTTATTTCAGTCTTGAAGTTGACCCAACCTGCTTGAAAGCCATTGAATTAGAGGATTTCCCCAAACTGGATAAGATGCCATAGAACTACCTTTCTGTATACTTGGCATTATGGTATTTTGATATGCCATGAAAGGAGTCTGCATAGATACTGTTATATGGCATCCTGTTGATCAAAATTTATACCAACCTAGAGAATATATCTAGTTATTAACAATCTAGTAATATAATAGAGCTCTTAATTTTTCTTAGGGGATTTTACAGGCAACTTATGTCTCCTCCTGGCTTATCTCTTGGAAGAGATCATGATCCTTCATCTTTTTATAATAATGTGTTATTCACTGGAGGACTACCCAGGTTCAAAGATGATAAGAATCATGATAGGAGTTAACAAATTTATAAATACAATTTTTTGAACTGTCTAGAAACTAAACTCTTTTTCTAGTATCGTTTTTGATTTTTTAATTCGTAGTAATTTCTCATTGTGATCCATGTAAGATACACAGTTAAAATTATTGTTTATATTTTTATGGAAGATATGTGTATTTAGATTGTAATTTCCCAGCTTTGAGTTTTATTTTTGCCTAATATTTATATGTGTGGTTCACAATCTTTGTTAAAGTTTTTCCTAAAAATGAAAGTGTGTGCCTTTTGTGTTCTGGGCATTTATAAGTGGCCATGGACTTGACAATTCATTTGAAGCACATGTGTTTAAGGGTAAGCATTTATTGACTACTGATGGGGAAGGATATACGTCATTGAAAGAAAAACAATTAGCATCTTAGCATTTTTCATGATGCTTAAGTGTTTCCTCAGAGAAACTTCAGCCTCCAAGAGGACAGCACCCATGTCTGTTCAATCACCGTATTCACAGTGATGGACACTACTGGCAAATCCTTGGTGCTGAATAAGTGAAAAAATAAATGATAATTAATTAAAAATATAAATAGAAAACTTTATTATACTGCTGGAATCTGCCTCTCTTCTTGAAATCCAGGTGACGAAAAGAAATATACAATGTTAAAAACGTGGGTCTGTCGCGGAAAATTCCATAAGGAAAACTATCTTCCAGCATGATCTAAATGGGTTTTTATATTAGAACCATAGATTGTTGCCATCAGAAGGAATACAGCACAATCCCCTTGTTTAACCATAAGGAAACTGAAGCTCAGAGAAATTCCTGGGAAACATCATAGAACGATGGAGCGCAGCTGATGAAATCTAATGTATGTGTGTGTGTGTGTGTCTCCTTCAGCATGTCATTTAACATTTTTCACCTTAGTTGGCTTAGCTCCTCCAATGTCCTAAGATTCTAGAATATTAATACGAGAATAATTTCTGTTATGTTGGAGATTTTTTTATTTGTGGAATTTTCCCAAGCAAAGGAAGATTTTGAGTGGATACAATTTCTATGATGATCATGGGACAGGCTGACTGCTCTGGGATTGTAAAGCTATGCAGCTGGAGATAGGACAAGAATTGCCTGAAAGGTGAAAACTTGCAGGAAAAATGGGGTGGGTCATTGAGTTCTTGAAATGAAGCAGGGTGAAGATTAGGAATCATTATGGTTTGCCAGAAGTTGCTGGTCATAGAAGCCTGTTTAAGTGCTCACTGTCAACAAGGAAATCATGGGCAGCACTTAAAGTGGCTCACCTCTGATTTATTCATAAACCTCACACGAGCACTTGGCTTTGTTCTTGCTCTAGGAAAGGGGGACTGATGCCAATAAGAACAGGAATAAAGAGCTCCTTGCATGGTCCAGGAGTGAATAGCACTTTACCTGAAAGCCTGACCTCTTTTCCTGAGGTCTGTTATGCTACAGCTGACTCTGATTGGTTGTGTGTCCTCAGATGAATTGAGAGAAGAGGTTATAACATGTCTCTACTCTGTAAACCCCATAGTAGACATAACAAGGGCCACATAGCTGGAACTTGGGTTCTAACTTAACCCAGGGTTGTGGTACTTATGCTAAATGGAAAGGCTTCCTTGTCTCTTCTCTTTGAAGCTTGAAGAGTTGCACGTTTAATAAGAGTTGGAAAAATAGTGCTTCTTTCCATTTGAAGAATACAAGATCTCAGAGTAAAATGTGTTTTGACAATCCCTTTCCCCATTCAAATGAATTTAGAGAGATTTAATTACATAGGAAATTAAAGGTTTGAGAATAAAACAGGTACTACACTGGGGTCGAAACAAAGAAACGGGCTTGCCAGTTGATAAACATATTAGCCATGTTTCTCTGAGAAGCTTTTTTTGTGCTCCTTCGCAAATTATGCTCCGCTCCAGCAGCCCATAGTGAGGGGAAGGGACCTTTAAGAGACAGTCAGCTGGCTGGTTTGACTGGGGCAGGGGTTGAGTTGAGTTACTAAATCCCCAGAGCAACATTTAGTTAATGCTAGTCGTTTTTTTTTTTTTTCTCCCTGATCCTGTCCACTCTGGCTTTCCTTTTTTCCTTTTGATGAAGTTGGTCTCTTACTACTTAAAGTGCGTATATTTACACAAAAATTTCCTCAAATTTTCACAACACATTAACCCAGAAGAGCCATATTAGGAGATGGTGATGAGAGTTAATGATATATCTTT